TTGTCCCTTTGCTCTTGCTGCTCCTTGTGTCCTACTCAACTGCTCCAGCATGGGCTCTTCCGCTGGTCACTGTCCCTTTGGGTGCTGTACCTGCCTTGGCCTTGTCTCTTCTTTTTCAGCATCCACCGCCCTTTCTTAAACGTGTTTCCACAGAAGCACCATAAACTCAACTTGTTGGTCCAGTTTGGGGTGCAGTGGGTCAACTTTCTCTGGTGCCAAGCCAGCCGTGAGCAGCACAGGGCAGTCCCTGGCCTCCTCCTGCACAGACAAAACAAACAGTGATACCCTCAAGCATGTCACCGTGCTCTCTGTGACACGCTTTTCTATTCTTTCCTTTCACCTTCAGGTGTTACCTTTACTGTTTTGGAAAATTATCTTCTATTTTCCCCCTGCACGGTTTGCCGAGCCCTTATAAGATGAACACAGTAATACCTCATAAAATGTTGACACCTCTAATAGGGTTTTACACATCTGTACTACACCTCAGGGGTCTCTAGAGATTGAAACAAAAAAGCTCCAGAAGCCTGGGGGGTTTTGCCTCAAAATGATATTGCTGTGAAAAATTTGCAGTTGAATCATAAAGCCATCACGTTGTTGCTGATGCTCAACCCCCCTGCCCCAGGGGAAGAGGATATATGCTTATTTTGTTTCTTTTTCGTCGCCCATGGTTTGTTTTGTTCAGTATCACAAAGGAAGTGAATGCTCTTCAGTGTTATTTCTGCTGAATGGGGAGGAATATTTTCTAGCGGGGGTGCTGGGCAGCACTGCGGAGACAGCCTCGGCCGCAGACAGGATGCTCCTCAGCAGGCAGGGTTAGGCTGAAGGGTGGAGAACACTGGGAAATCCGGAGCAGGGAGCACAGCCGTGGTATTGTGGGCTGTGCGCGGCAGCCAAGCTTTTCCTGGCTCCGTCCCCAGCCAGGGAAGCAGAGGACGTGCCTCCTGCTGTGGCCCCGGGGAAATGACGGGGATTCTGCAAAGCGGGGTTTGTTTCCTTTTGGTTTCTGAGAAACCACGTGCTTTAGGCAGAAGGCAGCCAGGAAGCTCCAATGACAGAAGCAGATGGCACCTTCTACCTGCCAAGCCATTTAGGATCTGGCAGCAACGACTCTGCCTGCAGGGCTCATTGATGTCCCCGTTGCAGGCACTGCAAAGCTGCCCGTGTTTGCTTTGCCTTGAAAGGTCGTGATCAGTTATTTAAGTTTCATGTTTAATACAAATAAATAACCCTATTTATTATGCAACAGGGGTTAATCCCCAGCTCGGCAGACACGCCTGTTGTAGAGGATGGCTGGAAAGAGCTCGGCAGCTATAACTGTGATTTTCCCAACGCCCCCCATACTGTCAGACTGAGGTTAGAGCCCCCATAGCAGGCATTGCCCGGTTTCTTGGACGCTTACCTTGAGATGCTGGCACTCAGTGCTGCATTTACAGAGATGACAAACAACTGTGTCTGCTCCGTGCTCAGTATTTGAGGTTATCAACATTATCAGCTCATCAAAACAAGCAAAATTAGGAGCTGCAATCACAACTGTTGGTGTCAATGACTGAATGCCAAAGCCCACATAGCACATGGGTGGGAAAGACCTGGGGCAGATGCAGGCAGCTTTCCCAGCTTCCCCTAGACCGCAACTGCTCCCATTCTGAGAGCGGCAGTGGGCTGGGGGGAAGCTGTGTTGCTCTTTGCATGGGTGAAAGTACCAAGTCCAAAGGGCAAGAAAAAAGGAGTACTAAGCTTCCTTGGGACTCAGCCACCCAGAATGGCCCTCGCATAGATTAAAGATAGGTGCCATCTGACGCGATAGAAAAGTAGACAGGTTTCTGTTGTGAATACCTTTATTGTGCGCATCAGATTTTAAATGTGAAAACAAAGGCAATGTATGCAAAATAGTTCAGCTTTTGTACATCACAGAGCATAGTATGCGTACAGATTAATCCTCTGAGTCTTGCTTTAATGACTGACAGCATTAAGGACATGGCTAGCAGGGATTCTAATACAGTCATTACAGCTACTAAAGGTGCCAGCACTGAATTTTCATGCAGCGTATCCAGCTAACCAAGGCTTTGCATTGGGACAGGCTAGTGTTCAGC